AGAGAGAGAGAGAGAGAGAGAGAGAAAAAGAACGGCTGTTCGCGGATGTTCGCACACACGCGTAAAACGTCATTATCAATTGAGCATGCGTAACTTATGCATCTCATTCGGCTCGTTAGGATAGTAATGTATTTTAATTGGCCGTTGCGTAGTATCAAACAATACGTTCTCTCCAAAAAGCCTGTCGCGTTGGTTAACGACAATTTCGACGAAGCAACTACACTCGTAATATTTTCACAAAATTACAAGTGGTATGTCCGTGCGAATTAGATAACGTATACAAAAGTGATAAATTTCTAATATCTGTCTTTACATATGTGACTTTACAGTAAGAGATTACAAAATTTGAAACAAATAATATAAATGATTTTCGAGAAATTTAGTTCGGAAAATACCGTAAGAAAATAACCAGATGACGTTTAATGATTGTGACGTTTTATAATTGATACATTTCATCTGAGTGATAGCAAACTTTATTCTCAGCTATTATGAAACAAAACTCTAATTAGAAAAGATATATATATATATATATATATATTTTTTTTTTAATTAAGATAACAAAGTTTCAGGGAAAGATCTTGAAGTATCGCTTAATAGTAAATTCGTTCGAGCAATAATGACTCTATTATGAAGAGAGGCGTAGCAAACAAGCAAAAGAATAACGTTTTCAATGGACGCCCAAGAGAAAAACTTTCGCTTCCTCTCCGACGTAGGCTGTAGGTGGATTCGGACAAAAAGCTTTTGTCTCGATGAACTTCTCTTGCCGTCTTTAGGCGCTTTACTTTTTCCCTTTCTCTCTCTACGGTCGACAACGTAAACCGAGCCATTAGGTGGACGAGAGGAGAGTTCTTGCGAGTAAGCAGCGGCATTCCTCTTGTTTCGCTGCATTTCGTTTTCCCTGACGGTTGACAGACAGACAGCCAGCCAGACAGCAAGCTAAGCAACTCGCCCGCGATAAACACTTCGGCACAGGCTTTTGTTTAGATAAGCGGAGTGCTTTTCATCTCTCGCTTCGCTGTGCATTATATGCGATCCTGCATCCGCGGCGAGATGAGCCACAACGATATACAGGGTGGCATTGAATTTGTGTCCTTGGTTAGGCCCCGCGTAATAATATTAAACAAATCTGCATCTAATAAGCAGAGAATTCAATATAATAAGTCCCAATAACATTCTTCGAAGAAAACGTCAGAACAAACGATCATCTTTTATCGTTTCTATGTTTTTAAATTAAGAATTTTTTCTAATTTCAAAGAGAGAAATTTTTAAATTTCTCAACTTTGGTATTCCATCATCAGAAAAATAATTAATAATCATTTTAGAAAATTTTAAAATGATATCTTTAATGATAGAGAAAAAATTCGTTTAGAAAGAATAAATGGCCAGAAATGGACTACTCGATACTTCTAACATTAATTCTATTCTTATCAATGTCTATTAATTTTAATTTTTAATTATAATTATATTTTATTATATTTATAGTTTAAGTTAAGTTTAATTTATTCTTTATCTTTTTTAATTCTTAAATCTACAAAAAGGTAAAAAGCAAGTTATAAATCGAGTTTAAACTTAATCTATAATTGGTAGAAATTAAATTAATTAATTAACATAAATTCGAAGAATCGATTTTTCTTTGTAAAAATCATAAAATTAGAATTTTTAATTTGTTTAAATTAGATTCAAGTTGAATTCTTAGATTTCTAATATTAGATTACAAAAATCTTATTTCTTACTTCTTTCCGTTACATATTTTGGTATCTATATAATACGTACAGATGTATATGTAAATAAATTTTATAGAAATAATTCGTCAACAACAATGAAAATTCTTTAAAACGACGAAGTGGCTAAGCTGGCTCGAATCATTATCGCTTTGCTTTTTTTTTTGACTTTTTTTTTAACGAATTGATTTGTGTCTTTTCTCACAAATAAAATTAAACAGTGTTAGAAGCAATATTGTTAATCGCGCTCATTGTCAACTAATAATAATAAATGTTGACAGTAATGAAAAATTAACCGTTCGATAATTTTGGTACTTTCAAATATCATAACATGTGTCTTCCATACAAGGTAAATGACAGTCGGCAACGTTTGCCTGACAAATCTCTTTGTCTTAAACCCAATACAACTAAGCATATTATTGGACCGACAAAAACGTATCGAATGTTGTTTCACACCGGCTCGTGAAAGCTCCATACGTCCACTCGTCAGTTTTACCTCTTGAGCAGATACACGGTCTCATTTCACGACATAACTACGATCTCGTAGTGTGATATTACTACTCGTCACGTAAATTCTTGTAAGTAATAAATACCCCAGAGGCATTCTATTTGACGCTCGCTGGCGAATTACATACAAATAATATTATATAATGAATAGCAATTTTTTCTGCGATAACGCGAATCTACACATACATTCTTATTATTTATAAATCTCATATAATATAAATATACTTCATGTAAGTTGTAAATCTCGAAAGCATGGACGCTCGTGCACAGACGTTAGTTTAAGAAACGTTGCGAGAAACATTCTTATTTGTTAATCTCGGATACGAAATATATATGCATTTGTTTTTTTAACAAATCAATAAGTTGAAAAAATGTTTCAAAAACAAAATATAATAAATAGCATTATTTAAAAGACAGGATTTTAGACGCCTAATTTTCTTTTCTTAAAATTATATATATAAATTCAAGATAACTGCTTGTATCGCCAACGACATGCCGTTTTAACTTGCAATAGCAGTTCAAAGCTGTAATTAAATTTCCTTTTTAATAAATCGATAATCAAATTTGATATCGATTATCTCTCTTTCTCACATAAGAAATTCTTATGAAAAATATCATCTCAGTCAAATCTGGACTCAACTATTCGTGTCGGGTGTCTTTTTCAATTCGACCCTTGAAGTATGTGATGATGCTTATCGCAATAAGCCGAAGTAATAAATAAGTAGACTAAATAAAGAACAAAGACGTCATTTTTAGCATAAAGAATAAACATTTACATTTTTTTTAATCACTCGTCGACAATTCCATTTCCTCGTTGATACGAACAATTACAAAGGAATGCTAATTAATCCTGGCCGAGTCTCGTTGAAATAAAACAGTCACTTCTAAAGGCATATATCGCTTAAAATTTGTCGTCACGTGCAAAGTCGAATTTATACTTTTATCAGGGCTATTTTAAATGGAGAGCCTTCTCTCGCGGGTCTCTCTTGAGGTCACCTTCGAGGGCGCGAAGGGCACGTAGGGAGACACATACGCGCCACGCACAAGGGCGGAGTGCAGATATAGATAGTGACTTGGCAACATAAAGAATACATAGCGCAAAGCGTCGCGAGAGAAGGCTCCATTGGCTGGTTTCGGTGCCTCGTGGTGTACGCCTACCCGGTCACTCCACCTCTTCGACACGCAATTGGCAGACAATAATCGAGTTCGCACGCGAGTGAACGGGCGAGTTGCCTCGCGACCTCACAGGTGCGATCTTCCTTCACATGCGAGCTCGCGTTAACGCGAGCGATTATTCGATGCATGTAGTCGACTTTTAAGCTGGTCATCCAATCGAACACATCAAACTTTAACGTGGTAGCTGGCACTATTAAAACTTTTTAAAACGTTTGCAAAAAAATAAATACCATCCAATATAAAGTGATAGGGAGATTTTGCTAAAGCACATGAAAATTTGAATGTAGATCTGAAAATAATTATGTAGGATGTTCAAAATACTAGAATATCAAAAGTTTTTACAGTATTATCATTAAGCTTAAGTTTTCACAAATCTAAAAATTATTAGATCATCAAAATTATGTAGAGCATTTAAACAGGATGATAATATTGCAAAAATTTTTGATCTTCTAGCAATCAATTTAATTGTCGTACAAAATAATTTTGCAGATCCAACAAAATTATTTTCTTTCAGATTTGTATCTGGCCAAATTTTTAGATTTGCCAAGAAAATTATTCTTTCCGAAAAGAGATATTCTCTAGAGAGATATAATCTAATTTAATTCTGCTATTTTATTTGAATTTACTATATTGATTATATTATACGTTTAAATTAATATAATCAAAAAGTCCAAAAATAAAAAAAATTTGAATAGAAAAAAAATCTTACATTAATAGATAAAGTCATTAAATATCAAAAAAAAGATTGAACTGTTAAAAAGGTATTAGTAAGAAAATAAAATATTTCTCAAATAAAACAGT